ATTGAAACAATTGAAAATGCACATGAGAAGGATTCAAGGTTCACAGTTAACGTGACTGGATTTGAGGATCTCTCAGTAGTGCCTAGTAAGAATTTTCATTATATCTTATAACGCAGTATAGATCGATAAGAATGAACCGACGTTTCGGGGGAAAGTATCGGCTATACTTTCTCCCTTCTCAATGCTCGTATATTGCTTCTATCCTGAAGATGGAAGAAATAGGTTCCACCGAAACGTCGGTTGATTTCTACGGGACTATACGCATTATACCCCAGTTATCGCAGTTCACTTATTCACTAGAATTCATTTGACGGAGAAGTGGTTAATCATAGCATGCAGACAACAAATCAGAGACACATATATGGATATATTGTTTTCTTTGTTAGCGTCTTAGTTCCTTTAACGACGTTTTCCAGCTTCATATGTTTGTGGGTAAGATGTGAATGTAACCGGCTGTGTCCTGTTTAAAATATCCTGGCGTTTATCTGGAGGGCAAAAAGGCAAAAGTAAAGGTATCCATGTAAGTGGAAGCCCAGAGGGTTGTGAGGCATTGGAGCTCCCACATTTGGTAGACAATCGGTTCACAGATGGCGGTAAGGTTGTCATCCTTAACGCGCCGCACACCCTTTAACCCCAGAAAGATTCCCGGTAATCTTTTCTCTTAGAGGCTGAGTCGACCCCAGGGCCATTGTGCGTCTGGAAGGATTAGGTCAATTGAAAAATTCATTGGCCTCATTGGGAATGAAACCCGCGACCTTTCGGCTTGTAGCATAGTGAATCAACCAGCTACACTACCGCGTGCCCCCTTATCCGGAGGGAACGGAGAAAACTATGGAAATTTCCGAATAAAAGCCCAAACTGAGAACTGAACCTGGAACCTCCTCCGAATGATTGTATCTCGACCTCTGATGTCAGTACATTAATATCACAGGAAGTGATACTGATCCTCCATGTAATAGTGCAATGGTTCTATCGCTCTGCATGTCGACAGTGTTCGTGTTTATAGATGTGTTACTGACTGTGCAGCGTCGAATGATAGGATTATTGTGAATTATGAATTGAAGACTGTCTAAAAAGAAGCGGTCATGGACTGCGCACTATCTCAGTAGGTATGAACTCTATAAGAATTGAGGAACCTCAATCATTATAGGCATAATCGGTGTCTGGACCGAGATTCGACCCTGAGGTCTCCAGATATCTTTTAAATTACAAAATTCCAGTATGACATATGTGACTTTAGGCCCGATAATCGAACTAGGACCTTCGGAACACGAAACAGCAGTACTAGTTAGTTAGTTAGTTAGTTACTGGAGAGGGTGGGTTTCCCCATGCACTTAGACCAGTGTTGGTCCATTGTGCTTCCCTCTATGATATTCTACCAGTCTCTATATCCTACCGATATTGGTGCGTACCATCAGTCCCGACCGAGCCAGCGAGTTCGGCCTCGACTAGCTTGGCGGCATCTATAATGCTTCCCCCATCTATCAGAGGTATTAGAGACTACTTTTGGGCGGGAAACGTCCTTGAATTTGGCTCAGTGTCATCCTTTGGAGATATGAGGTTCTTTTAGGTGCCGTAAAGCTACGACACGGGACACACGGCTTAAAGTCCCTCCCGGAGGACTTGTTCCCTGAATTTTTCCGCCCTTAAAAATTCGACGACCTCCGCCGGGTTTGAACCCGCGTACCACGAGTCATGAGGTGGGAACGATACCTCTAGACTACGGAGGCCGCTAACAGCAGTACTAAATCATCCAACCGCGAATTTCATTACCAACATTCTGTATCCAGAGCAATTACCAGCACATGACTATTCACCATGAGAACAATAGAGGTAAACCGAAAAGAATTTCACAACCATAAATACAGTTTAAACAATTAAAAACAAGAAGGCAACGTAAAGAACAAATGCGCGAATAAGAGTACAGCTCCAAAATAAGGCATTCAATACATATACTACAATAACATAATTCACGTTTTAGATGATCGAAAAGAATTCCACGTCCAGTAACAAGAAAACAACGAAAAAACAAGACGACAGCCTACACCACTGCTCAAGCACACGCAAGCCATCTTCGAAAAACGTCTGCATCTACAGACACGCCAAAATAACCTATCACAAGAGTACGAGGTTTGTGTGAGATTGCCGTCAGCCTGGGAGATAGTTGTGTGACAGTCACCAACCAGTAAGGACGTGTACAGGGAAGCTGAAGAAGCTACGACGTTGGAAGCCGTTACCAGGCGACAACCGGTGAAGATAAAGAGACTGAGAAGATTTAATACGTGTTGTAGTGAATTTTAGAGTGTGTGAATTAGCGATAGTGCTACAGTTACTTGTATTTACGATCTATAATTGTTCAGTAAAACCAATTACCCACCTAAACCCCGCCTACAGTCACTCTCTCACGTAACAACATCAAACTGACAACGTAAAATAGTAGTTTAGCGAACTGTGAGTATGCATACGTGACGATGGTCGAAAGACCGAAATATCCAGAAAATTAGTTACTATAGGATTCTGACGATGGTGTATAACACACAGAGATATTGGGTTTTCGGACCTATCCATCGTCCTTATTTTTAGACAACTAAGAAAAATACGACGTTTCGGAAACTTGATCTGTATCCGTCCTCAGGTGAGGGAAAACGCCTATTCTGTTGGGTCCCTTAGAAAGAGCTAGCCTCAATCACTGGTCCAGATCCAGTTTCCGAAACGTCGTGTTTTTCTTAGTTATCTTAAAACTAGGACGATGGATGAAGTCCAAAAACCCAATATCTCTGTATCCAGAAAATTGTTAACGTACAGTAAGTTTATACAAAACTTGTGCTGACATAAATAAATACAATTGGAATACATCACAACATGACACCATAACATGACGTTTATAATCCAATGCAAGCTGCCCACACTGTCACTGTTAGTGCAGTTGTTACCGATAATGTTACTGGTCAGGCATAAAATCTCTGAAATAGAATATATGTAAAATAACCACAACGTTTTTTAACCCTTACCTAAGCAGAGCTGGAGCAGGGGTGTTGAAGCCACTGGGCTCCCTTAATCCAGCCATGGGGTTACAACGTAGAGCTTTACAATGAAGGAGTCGCGAACCGTTAATAAGATTTGCGGTTCAGAGTTGCCGTCGTGAGCATGAAACAAGCATCGCCGGAGCATTACAAGGCATTTGTTAAGCTTTAGGCTGGACTTTTACTGTAAGCCAGCAGGAAGGAACTCACAGTGGTTGTAAAGCCTAGCACCGAGAGAACAAGCAGGAACTGCAACCGCCCCTGCCAGAGAGTCTACCGTCACCCAGCTAACCCCCTTTTACTCAGAGACGCGATAGTATAAATTAAACAGACGGACAATTCGGACAGTGAGCTGGGGTCTGTTTAGCACACGTGATGGCGCAGAATAAAGGAGTCGGTTTCGGAAGTAGCGAGCACGAAACGATTATGTGAAATCATTTTTAAGGTTTCTTGGCGAAGTACGATTTATTGGTCCTCTGAGCGCATATTTTTATTTCACCCTTATCACTTCTAGGGCCCACCCAGTCTCCTATCAAATGGATACGGGGGCTCTTTCCCCTTTGGTAAAGCGGCTGGGGCGTGAAGCTGACCACTCACCTCCATCTTGTACCGAAGTCAAGAAAACGTGGATCTATACATTCACTCCCCCATACGCCTCCATGGCGTAATGCTTAATTAATTAAGCGCAAGGACAACTTTACCTTTTTGACCTTAACATTCAAATTAGGAGATATATGGTTCTTCACTCGTGGATTCTGAATGTTGTCATATGGTGTTGTCCTCAGTGCTACTCGAAGCGTTGCGCAAATACAATTAAAGGATCCCAACCCTGACAGATGTTAAGTTAACTCTTCAAAGAGCGAAGCTCTGATCATCGTCTTCGGACTGAGTCTTTGAGAAGCAGCCAGTCGCTGAGCTACTCTAAAACTTCCCAACAGTTTGTGGAACCCGAATATTCATTTTTGTGTTCACAGGAGCCCACAACCTCTCCATATTTCTGAGCCAGATGAATCCAGTCCATACTATCTCACCCTCTCTCTCTAAGGTCCGTCTTAGTATTGTCCTCCTTCCTATGTTGAGGTATTCGTAGTGGTTTCTTCCTCGAGCGGCCGGAGGGGGGGGGCTTGGGACTAACAGCTCCTCTCCATAAAAAAAATCTAATGTTACGAACTGTTACACAGGGCCTCGGATTTGAATGGAGTCCGGTCCTTTGGAGTCCCACATGGTTACCTGCATTATGAGGGCGTTACTTGTCAAATAATATTTCAAAGGCAATGAATTTCCATGTTCTTTAGTGTTACAATATAGGTGCCTTTAGTCTTAGAAGAAATATTTAAGCCCACTCTCGGATGAGGGATGAAGGTTCAACTGAGGTCCGAGGTTGTAGTAACGTTCCGGCTGGTCAGGTCCCCCTGCACACCTCAGGGACAATGGCAGATGACTCAGTTATCTCCCAAGTTCTTGTTGGTATGTGAAAACTGATGCTATATGAGAGAAACCTGCATTACTGCCATGTGGTAAAGTAATCCCTGTAACAGACCATGGAAGCCCATAGGGTTTTGAGACGTCGAGGCTCCCACTTCTTCTAGATAATCGGCTCACAGATGGCTGTGATGTTGTCAGCCTTACGCGCCGGCCGCTCTTTACCCCCAGGAAGATTCCTGGTACTCATTTCTGTTAGAGGCTGAGTCGACCCCAGGGCCATAGTGTTGCTGGAAGGACTGGTCTGAAATTGCACTCAAGCGTCCTTCTGGGCTATGGACACCACATGTTAACATCCGAGTTAAAGTAAACGTAGGAAATGGATAAGCGGATAGCAAAGATACTGTGTTCTTACAACAGTAATCCAGTAATACAGTTTACGGTTTATGCGGAAGTTATTCTTGAAATATTTATTCCAGTACTTTGTCAAGACACTTCAAAAGAAATGGGAATTTGAATAATGCACAAGTAATTTGTATGTTTCTGGTGTTACAGTTCGACCTCTGTGGGTTAGACTGCAGGGAGAAAATCACCCCCTCTCAGCTGACAATACGTACGAGTTGGAATGTGAGGCTGTGGGAGCAAGACCACCCCCGGTGATGAGCTGGTGGAAGGGCAGCATCCCCCTGCGAAACACCAGAGAAACTGTAAGAATCCAACTCATAGTTTATAATGTAACGTGAAGTCACTTCATCAAAACATCCGGATGTGTGTTACATACATTTCAATATGACGATGTTCGAGTTGCAACCAGACTCTTACTGGGTTTATACGGGGCACAGTTGGTTCCGCCATAAGGATGACTGTACAACTAACTGTAGGGCAGGCAGATGTCCTTGTGTCCAACAGTTTAGGTTTTGAAGAAAGCAGACTGCTTGACCGTGTCTCACGGTGTTGTCGCTTGCAGATTTACTTATACTTCTTCAACCCTGAAGATGGGGGCGATACGTTCCTCCGAAACGTCGGTTAACACCACATATACACGGTGCCAAATCCCAGAAGACTGCTTTCTTCATAGTCACCGCCGTGAAAGTCTCAAATCTTACATAGTTTAGGTTTTGATCAATTTTGTGTTCTTTGAATGAAAAACGTAATATGAACGTATAACTCAGAGGGTGTGGATGTATGTCGAAACTTATGATTCTTCTCCAGAACAACTGAACGGATTTTGAAGAATTTTAATACATAGTGATGTATGGAAAATCAATTGGAGAAAATTGGTTTTGATGAATATATAACAATTACAACCAAATTTTTCATGAATCTAAATTCATTATTATCAAATTTCCCCACAAACTGATGGTTCTACAAAAACCAAATTCCAATTGAAGATATTGAACTACCAGAAACTTATAAGAGCACCGGTACCAATTGTGTGGGTATCTGAGTGGGCCCCAGGCGTGATCTGGACATTGTAGAGAAGAGAAATATCTCTTGCCTCTGCCAGAAATCGAACCCCGGCCTTTCAGCCTTACAGCCCTTAACTGTTCATCAGTCTTTGAAAAAATGGCTGGGCTTCGGATATTCAGTGGGCTTCATATTTACTGGGTCCGAGTGTTCAGTTACATTAAAATGTCCTTTCTTCTTCATCTTACACTGTTTTGTGCTTAAGTAGTGACTCCCTATACTGGTTTTCTGTGCCCCTCTTTAAGTGCTTGGCTTCTTGATGCTGAGAACCCGAGTACTCCTTACTCCATGTTAAAGTAGCATTGACCTGCTCACGTGTACAAGTGTGTATAACCTAGCGGTCTCAGAATACTATTACCTATTTCAAGAAGTCGCCAAGTTGTGTCGAAGCAGTGGACATATAAACCAGTTAAGCTAGAAAGACAGCGAAAGATATATAACTTATTGACACTTTGATAGACATGCGTGGCACCGAGATGCCGGAGAGTTTGGAGGAAATTTCATTGCCACCCCTTCGTTCTTGCAGTCACACTCCCTTGCATTAACTTGATCAGGATCACTCTTCAACTGTCAATTCTGCACACAGGAAATTTCTTTCCATAAATCTCTCGGGCAGAATGAAAGTTCATAGTAACGACCCCTCAGTTCCAGTTCTTGCAACAGTAAAACCAATTTTCCACCGGCGGTTCCGTAAGTTTGTCGTTTGTACGAGCAGATGGCCATTCTGCAAATTAACGGAAGTGACCACGGGAGAATTTCTCCATATTGTCACGTGTTTGAGTGTTTCCGACGCGGGGTTGGATTGGTGAATCGATTTATTGTTTCTTCACTATTTGTAACTACAAATAACTGTAACGCTTTCAAGTTTACTGTAGTTACATATAACACACAAAGTTTTCAGTTCACACGTTAGGTCTTCACAGGTCTTCTATGTACGTCACGCGACTATCTCCTACTGGGAACTGAACTGAATTTCTGGTCTTATTCTAGTTATATAGCCACCGCACGGACTATGCACAGAAAACACAGTTCTATTCTTGCATAAGGAAGACCACACAGAGAACAAATCACGTGATTCCTAGCAAGCGTCTTAATTGGTGTACTGTTTTCTAGCAACATGCAATAACAATCCTCCACTGAGACTCATCTTCCATTGTTGTCTTGTGTGTCTTCGGACGCAGGATGTTTACCGGTCCGTTACGTAGCAACGCTCTGCCCATTGACTTTACGTATTTCTTTCCAAATCTTAAGTACATCGCAATAATTAGCGATTAGTTAAGAGCTGAGAGTTTTTTATTTAATTTGAAATATCTTCGATACTGAATTATATTTTTCTATAGAACCTGCTAATTTGGTTATTTAGCGCTTCTAACTCAACTGCAGAATTAATATATTAATGTATAATATAGCGTAGTGTAGTATGGGATAGTAATGTAGAAGTAATATGGTTATGATTGAAATGATCACAAGCGATGAGTTCGTAAGGATTAGAAAAGAAACGATATTTACCTATTTGGGTGCACTATCCTAGCATTCGTTCAGAAGTAAGAAACGAAAAATGAAAATCAGGACAGTGGGAAGCCCTGTCGAGGTACGAAGTAAATGTCCCAAAGAACTGCAGCGGTGCTGCTGCACCAAGCTCCCTGCAGTGTATGTGTCTGTTTTGATAGAATGTAAGTTCTTAGGTACATTACGTAATGCATATTTACCCTCTATTTTAAGGTAGAGTATCTCCCTCGAATAGGCATATACGTATTTTTCTGTCCTCCACGGGATTAAGATCAGCTCTGAGGTCCATCCATCCTCCACTTCTGTAGATACCGGCGGCCCCTTCCCCCAAGTGAACCTCCCGCAGCTTGGCGCTAACCACACACCTCCATCTAGTACAGAAAGTTGAGAAAGACTGATATTTCCACACAAAAAAAAAACTGCAGCTCATAGCGAGCTGCAGTTCCAATTCACGTATTCACGTTTGTGTCCCATGTGACTGCTAATTTATACGCAGGTTGAATAGTGATCACGTCTCCGCTTCTCTATCTCTCTCTCTCGAAGTGACCAACATACGTTGGCCACTTCTCTATCTCTATATCTCGAAGTGACCAACATACGTTGGCCACTTCTCTATCTCTATCTCTCGAAGTGACTAACATACGTTGGCGAGAAAGTTCGAGAAGGAAAGAACATTGCACGCAACTGCTGTATCCGTACTTTGACTGTATGTAAAGTTAGCTTTGTAAGTTCCAAAGGGATTCAACTCCGGTATCCTGAGTTCTACACCCATCATGGCTTAAACATTCACCAAATTGAACCGAACTCATGCCGTAATCAAGTGCATGACCCGCCCTGAATATTTGTAACGCGTCATGTGTTTATTGAATTTTTAGTTTCTTCAACGACACCATACCTACTGCAAAAACTTCACGTTGGATGAAACTGAAAGGAAATGTTGAAATATCAATATATATAGCTATGGAAAGAAAAAAAAATGAAAATTGGTCTGTTCGAGAGTTGTATGCAGGTACTAGGCTCAGGATATGGACCAGTGGAGGGTTCTTGTGAACACGGTAATGAACCTTCCGGTTCCATAAAATGTTGGGAAGTTCTCAAATGGTTGCACAATTGGCTGCTTCTCAAGAAGGGTTCAGCTCTATGCGTGAGTGAGTGATGCAGGTACTAGCCTAGAGAAACTAAGGAAAAGCACCGAGCCCCTGGTGAAGAATTCCCTGTGTCCCGCCTCATATTTAAAACGGGTACCTTCCCAGTTGAAATCTAGGGCAACACCGTTACATCAGTCTGCTATAGCTCGCGCCACGGCTGATGACATGCGTGCATAAAGACGATTCCATTCTTTTGGGTGGAGTCACGAACATGAACGAGTTCACTCAGTCGAAAGATGCGCAGCGAGGCAGAGCAGGTCAGTCTGCTGCATGGCTGTGTGTGTGGAGCAAATTGTCTGGGAGCGCTGAGATGTACCCCAACCACATTGCTGCTTCCCCTTCCATTCTCCTCTCATGCGCTACCATATCTTTCACTTGTTGCGTGACGTATACGGCTTTAGTTAACTTGATTTTTCCTTACACATTATTATATAAAGATGCACGTATTTGAATGATGTTTTGTTCCGTTAGATACACATACTAGTGGAAAAGCCTGTTGAAGTTCAGTGGAAAATTATTTGTTGTTTTCACCCTTCATCAGCTTTCTTCCTTTTCTTTGCCCTTTAACTACATTCATCTCGTTCCATAATCCCTCTCCTGTACTAGTGAATAAAACGACATCTTTATCCTTTGATGGCACAGTTATAAATATAGATTTGCCTCATGCTTGTACGTGAAAACTGCTACAGCATAAGAACAACATAACCTATGCGTGCAGATAACACATACAATCAATCATAACCGGTCAACTGTTACAAATATTGTCACGTATACGGGGTTAGCGTGACGAATAACTCTGGGTTCTAGATTTGGAGATTGGATTTATTGGATACTCACAAGTCGTAAATAGAAATAATTATAATATCCTGAACTTTAGGGCCTAAAGATTACTCTAACTATACCACACAAAATAAAAGTCTTCAAATCACATGTTAAATCTTCACAGGCCAACTTCTAATTCTTCTTCAGCAATTCTCTTAAAATTTCTGAACTCCAATTCTCTCTAATCCTATAGCTCACAGCTCTCGTAATATAGCCGCGGCACGGACCACATAGAAACCTCTTCTATTATTGTAGAGAATTGTCACCACGTTTTGCCTAGCAACCAGTCTCAACGCGTATTTTTATGGCAGTGGACTCCCTGTTGTTGTTAACGCTCTTAAGTGAGAAGGTGTTTATCGGCCGTTGCATAGAATCAGCAATTCTTCTATTGTTGCCTTTGTATTCTTTGTCGCGAGAATGTGTTTAGCGACCCATTACCTAGCAGTGAATAATACTACGTCACAGATACGTCTTATTTAAGACATTTTTTATGTCATATGTTAATGCACCCAACGGAAAGAAGACTTTGATGATATAACTCAAATAGAGATTCGATAGCACGAACCTAAATATCCAGTGAAGATGGAAGAACTTCCGAGTTTTACCCTTCGAAGCATGAGTTCATCTAAATGTGAGTTGCCACATTTCAGCGAGAAACTGCGTTTCCATTTCAAAGATATATTGGTTTATTCTCTACAGAGAGTAATTACTGTTTATTCTGAGAATCATACGAAACGAACTTTGTAGAAAAAATTCTGGGT